TTATTGGACTTGAAAGCTACAGCTTAAAATTATCTATAGATATACGTCATGTATATTTTAAGAAATTCTTGTAATTTGAAAGAATTAAGCAAGTTCTGCACAAAATTCTTGATGAGAAAGGGTGACCATGCCCCTATTTCAAAATGGAATATGCTAATGGAGTTCATGTATGCTTGGTCATTGTTCTCACCTAATTTGCATACTGTAATTGTGGCAGGTGTACACAAGATCTGCATGATGTACAACCTAACTTGTAAAATCATATGGCATTTAGACTAAGCCTTTGTAGTCAAAAATTTCTTAGTAACGTTTCATCATTTATGTCACCTGATCTGTATACAAGTCGCAGAACAAGGTAGAAAACAAAGACGTATACAATATTCTAGTACTTTTATATAAAAAAAATCCCAGAACACCATGGGAATACTTTATTTTCGCTGAAAAGGCTTTTTGGGCGTTTTGTGTGGAATTTATTTTCACTGATTTTTGATGAGTTTAATGTGAAATACAGGAAAAAAAGTATATTCGCTAGATTTCATTTTCACGGAAACATCCCTTCAGCGAAAATAAAGTATTTACAGTAAAGGGATTTGACCTGAAACAGGAGATTAAATTTGGCAATGGAGCATTGCGATTTGATTGACTGAACTCAATCTATGAACCCCTGGTCCAGTTGGGAGAATAAAAATTGCCATACATTTCCAAAACAGTTAATCTGTGGTGAGTGGTCTGTATTGAGAATTGTGTGATTACAATACAGGATTCACAGAATGTGCTTTTATTTACCTGTAAGACTCTAGATCTACAAATGTTCTCATATGGTGGCCTTCGTCTTGAAGAAGTTTCTTTGCTTTTTCTGTATCTATAGTGTAATCCAATGTTATCATATGTGGTCTTCCATTCACATATAATACCGATGTCTTGATATCTTTTGTACAGGTTCCCTGAAGAGCAAAGAAATTAAATGACAATAAGGTGCATATAGTTTCATGGGATCCACTCAAAATGGTCATTTGAGACACAACATGACATAAATATTTTATCAGCATATACTGTAAAACATGTTTTTTTTCGCGAGCATGTCTTTTTAGCGAGAGAGCTAATTTGCTAATTTAAGATGTTGCTAATGACTTCATTATAAAATCAAAATGGCGACCAAACATTTTTTTCTCCGCACACACTTTATAAACAACACAATCTGGAGCACTTCCTTATTACACTTGACAGTTTTTCTTTGTTTTTATGGAGGTGATAACTGCGCATTTGTTTTGGCAGGCCACAGATGAGTATTGTGAAAACAAAGACAAAAGAGATTTGCTATTACATCATTTTACCACAATTCGCTAAAATAGTATGTCGCTTTTTCAACATGTTTTACAGTATTGTCATGCTATGATGTCACAACATGAACCTCTTCACTAGCCATGGTTTGGTTGTTCAGCCATTGCCCCACCAACATAGCTATAGCTATTCAACGTCTGCATATTTAAGTGTGTCCTTTTTGGCATTTTGACATGCCACCATTCTCTTATATATACTCACTGCAGAATGCTACTGGCATCATATATTGGGAATGTGTTTATAGACACTTCCAATCAGTTCTACCGGTAAGCATTTTACAGAGCTCAAGTAAGGAACCTCTCAGTACACAGGTTCGTGGGGGCGTACATTTAACATCAAGTTGATGAAACCGTGTGATTCAAACAATGCATAAATCTTTGGCAATAATATTTCTCAATATATATATTCCTGGCCAAGTGAGACAAATGAGAGCATTGTAATCATGCATAGTCCCGCAAAAAAATAACTGAGTTTTCAAAAACATACCTTGTAATATATGTTCTTGCCTTGTGGTACACTTCCCTTATCCAGAATGGCATCATAATTACGATGATCAATGACCATAATACCACCTGGCTTCACCATGTGCTCAAAATTCTTAAAAGCCAGTTTTTGATTTGAAAGATTTCCCTCGAAGTCTGGTAAATGGGGGAAGGAGTTACCAAGACAGATGACGGCATCAAAGTCACCAATGTGGAGCTCCTCCAAATCTTCAGCCAAAGTCAACCAGTTAGCTTCTTCAATCACTAGAAATGTACAGTAATAATATTAAAAGTGAATTCACATTACACGTGTATAATATTTATTATACATTATCATTTGATATTATCAGGAGTACAAAACAGGATAAACCTACACAATTAAGTTCATAATTAAAAAAAATATGGATTAAGAATTGTCGCCAATAGGAAATTATGTTCTTTGGAACCAAAAATACTGCTCTAAAAGATTGACGGAAAAAACTTGTGGCAATCACAACATAAACCTTTCTTGGTACAAGCATCTGTAGTACCTGCATTTATTAGGCTATTTAGTGTATTGAAAAATAATGTGACTGACACCATGATGGTGTCACTATGATTGCCATTGCTTTGGATTTTTTGAGTCATTTTTATCTGATAATTTTAATCAGTTGAATATGGGTTCCATATCTTATGTATACTAAAATACTTTGTTTGCACAAAATTTCAAAGCTGTCAGGGACGGAACTGACTGTGCATGGAGCTTATAGTCAACTGCAAAGTGATGCAAATTCAAACTAAATATTATTAACTATATACATAATAACAGTTTTTATTTAACTTCCAAATGATATTGCAAAATAAAAGTGAAAGCAAACATTTTATTATTTTCATTTTATATATAAATAACAAGGCTGCAAAGAGGTATAACATACTAGTTTATCCAAACACACAGACTAATCAAATTGAAACATGCCTGGCAATAACATTATACTGTGTATTAAGGGGAGGGGGGGTTTGAAGATGACAATAAAGCAATTTTAAATTAGTTTCTCAGGAAGTTAGTTCAAAAACTTGTTCTTCATTGTATTTTCCAAGTCCACTCTAGGATTGCAAAAGTCACACTCATAAACTAAGTAACATATGCCACCAGACTTGCAGCATATTGGAACATAATTGTATATTAATGCATCAACAAATGATAATGAAAGAAAGGTATACATGGAAGGTTTAAAATAGAATGCAAAGCCAAGCCAGCTGACACCAAACCTTGTTATTGTTTCAAATTACAATGCTTTTAAAATAAAATACCACTGTAGTAGGTATGTCAATAACCGGTAGTCAACGCCCATTTCTGAATTTTGAATCACAATATGGAAGTTAACTATTGCATCAGATAGTAGGGTCAAAAGTCAACTTCCAGCAGTCCTCAATTACAGTAGTGGCACTGGAAAATCATCTTTTTACAATGAGATAAATATTTTATGACTCATGACTCATGTTTTTTGCTTGTTTGCATTGTTGCAAGTAAAAAGTACAATGTAAAACTACCGTCCCTCAACCACTAGGATAAGTGCTATTACCCCATTCATCAAACGCCGCCTCCTTTCTTCTGTGCCATCTTTCTTTCAAAGCATATTTCAGCATTTTATCAGAAGCATCAACACTAGTCACGCTAAAACCCTCTTCTAACAACATCACTGAATCCACACTGAAAAGAATTGAGATCAATTTAAATGCAAGTGTAACATATTGCTGTAAATTACATACCCCATAAATATGGGAACCTCCCTGTTTGTGTGTTTACCCGAGTCATACCTCCAAAGACACGGAGCAATACATATGTATAGCAGCCATTTGATTCGAAAATTTAAGATTTGGCCAATTCTTAAAATAATATTAAAATAAATCTTAAAATAATATTAAAATAAATTTAAAGAAATACATGTCTTAGCATTCAGTTTAAGTTTATATACAGTATTACCTGCCTAATTGTCAACATACTCTTAATGCTATATTACTGTATAATAGTTTTTGTTTCACTTGGAATTTATTTTCGTTATTTTTGCTGAAGAGATGAATCAGTGAAAATAGATTCTGTTGAAAATACCTGTTTTCCTATGTTTTACCATGGAAAGTTTTACACTCAACCATACACCTACTAATACATGTATTTTTAAGGTATATGATTCAACTTATTAAAAATCAGTGAAAATAAACATTATGCAAAACAGCCAAAATGCCTTTTTCGCGAAAGGGAATTTCAGATAAAATAAAGTATTTTACAATGATCAATCAACTGTTATTAGTGATTTCTGAGTAAACGTCAGTTCTGCACCATTGTTTACCTGTCGAGTTCATCATCGGAATGGCCTTGGAGAGAATGACCTTGCGGGAATGCCCTTCCCGTCTATCACTCACAGAGTATGATAACCAGCCAGCCGGTCGAGGAGACTCGTGTAACGACTGGGCTATACTGACATATTAGACAGGTGTGCGTTTTTACACATGGTTATTCTGCTCTTATTATAACATATACTGAAAATAACGTGCAATACAACAACAACAAAGACTTTTTTCTTTTAAATAAACATATTTCTCCCCAATTCCTAGAAATCAACGACCAGTTCTGTAATTTACCCCGTAAAATAATAATAAGACAATGTTTCATACCCTGTTCCGCATGCCACATCTAGGATCTTCTTACAACCTTTTTCTCGTAATAAATTGCAAATCCACGACTTGTACGATTCGGTTCTTTCAGACTTACTACCTACGTATAGCTCCCACACTTTCGCTGCTTTCCCGTCAGCGTACTGGTCAGGAATACCCTGCGCTGCTACACCCAGTGAACGAGTACGAAATACACTATCGATCGACATAATGCGAGACGAATGAAATGATAAATATCGTAATCAAATGCCCAACGACGTTGACGAGACTGAAACAGCTTGTTGACAAGTGACTGACTACGTTTTACTGCTGCGTCAAAGCACCACTGTTGTTTTGAACCATGTAGGCTAGTATAAATTATCATTTCCAAAAAGTAAATATCCGTTGTCGTTTCGCAATTGGTGGAATATGTCACATGATTACAACTGTTTTATAATCTCTAGTAGCTTAGGTGGTCAGAAGGTGAAGGTCTGGTGCGACCTCTCACAGAGTTCTATTTCTACTGGCCGCAAGGGTCTCTGGGAATGAGAATGGCTCTGGTGTGGTGATGTACTACATCTTCGTCACAGGGACTTTGAGATCTATTTGTGTGGTTGATTGCAGAAGTTTACACATATATGTCTATTGGGCGGAACAGTCTATGTCCTGGTACAGGACATTATTCTTGCTCATGATAAATGAAATTATAGAACTGAAACAGTAATTTAATGAAACCACATGTGACATTTATGTTGCTAAACATTGATTTTCCCACGATACAATGCGATCTTCTAATGAATACTAGACTGGGTTTCAAAACCAACTTATGGAGAGAGTTTTTGCACAGTCTGATACACATTTGCAAACCAAAAATCTTTACAGAAAACAAAATGTCAGAAAATCAATATAAGCACTCCTATGAATTGGGTGCCAAACTTTGATCAAGATCTGAAGCTAATAGAAAATCTGTTTAGTCCAAAGTTGTCAAACCAAAAACAATATATAAAAAGCAAAACGTTGCATCCACATTTTGAAAAGAAAATTGTACTCAAAAATAGGTATTCTGTATTTAACAAACAGTTCATTCGACAAATGAAAATTCACAGGAATTTGTTTCAGCTATTAGAACATAATGATAGGGCTTTTATAATAATAATTTTAAAACAAAGATTGCAGTGTTTAAAGATGTTGATTCTCAGGAGACAAAAGTACTGTTGACTTCTCTCTCCTTCCATGCTCCACTGGACACCAACTAACTACTAGTATTTCAGTTGATTTGCATTACAAAGCAGAGCTTGCAACATGATAGCTATTCATAGAGGGCGTTTTTTTTTTTACTTTACAAATAGAGTTGTCACACAATGAATATAAAAAGGCAGTTCATATTTGTTTTAGTGAATTATTAATTTTTGACAGACACCTGTACAAAATACTTCGACAAAGATTTTCTGGTATCTTGCATGATTTATGAATCTATTCACGTCTAAATGCAGCACTTTTTTCTGAGATGAGGCATTTGTTTTTATACTAAAATATCTGAATTACTTTGAATAAAACTGGAAATTAAATGTAATTAATTAAACAAATTAGGCACCAATGTTTTTGTAAGATATTTACATCTATCAAGAATATTCTACTTGATGGAGATCGGTGTCAAGTAAATACACATTGATTTGTGTCTTTTAACGTGACCATGTAACTATAATTTATAGTTCCATGACGTAACTTACTTCGGCGTAAAAGAAAAACAGATGTAAACACGTTACGCCAACGTAAAGGGGGTTAAAATTATATACATATTACATCGGCGTGAAACAGATAATAACATATTACGCCAGTGAATTTTAATTTATCTATTAAACACACAACATCCCCCGGAGGGGATGAAAAGGGTTACAAATCAGATATTAGTAAAAGAAAAATAACTGCATAAAAAGTAAAGAAACAAAAAGCATGAAGAAAAAAAAAATGAAAAAAAAATGATACAAATTTGTATACAAGGAATGTGTGAATTTTAATGCTCGGTTAACTGTACTCAAGATTATCCTATTTCAAAACAGGCTGGCTACCGATGTGTGTCAAATTTTATGTCAGTTTAGGTTGTTATATTGACTTGTATACGATGTCACGGTAAACCACTGGTGTTTTATAGTTCTATGCTCTCATAGAGGGACTGTGGGTAAACT